TATGTGCCCTGACCAGGAATTGAACCCACAACCTTTCAGTGTACAGGATGATGCTCCAACCAACTGAGCCACACCAGCCAGGGATAGTTATTACATCTGCCTCAGTTTTTCTACCTACCTAATCCTTGTGAAAATTACAAGTATAAAAAGTTAGAACAATAAGCCCTGGCCGGTTTGGCTCAGCAGTTAGAGCGTCAGCCCCGCGGACCAAAGAGTCACGGGTTGATGCCGGTCAAGGGCAGGTACCTCGGTTATGGTTCAGTCTGGCCCTGGTCAGGGTTGTGAGGGTGGCGACCAGTCGATGTGTCTCTTTCACATCAATGTTTCTCTCTCTCTCTCTCCCTCCCACTCTGTCTGAAAATAAATGGGAAAATATCCTCGGGTGAGGATTTTTTTAAAAAGTTCGAATAATAGTAAGCAAATATGGGCACTAACTATTGTTACCATTTTCTGTTGCCCGGGATCTAGGAGGACAAGCCTGGAGGCAAGCACTACAGGGCAGGTGAGATCCATGAAGGAACAAAGTCAACGTGAAGGAGAGCAAAGCCAAGAGGAGAGCCCTGGGCCCTGGTCACAAGGTTGAGCCCCGGAGCAAACTGGTCCTAAAGCTCGTTGTGCCCAGGGTTTTTCAGACATGAGGCAATAAAACCCTTTTTTGCTTAATATTGATTTGAGTCAGAAAGAGTCTTAAATGATATGCAACTGTCAAGCAATGTCCCGGGCTAGACATTTTGGAACCATTCCGTTCTCTCTCACGCTGGCAACGGCCTATGTGGCAAGCTGTATTGTCTGCTTCCTCAATTTCTTTTCACTTCTCTAACTCAGGGGGCAGAAAAGCAAATGAATACTTACCGAGTATGTGTCATGTAGTTATAGACTGTGCTAAGACATGTTCACTTTTTAACCTTGACCACAATCTGATGCGGCAGCTGAAGCAGAGTCAGCGACTAATTGTTCCAAGATGCCACAGTGAGCCAGTGGTAATTCCAACCCAAGACCACTGTTGATAAATATTTGCTGAATGTGATGACAGATGGTTACTAGACTCATTGTGGTGATCACTCAATAATGTATATAAATGTCTAATCACTGTGTTGTGCAACTGCAATCTTAATAAATAAATAAAGGTGCACTTGATGAGGGGGAAAAACAGAAACAAAAAACCATTTGTTGCATGGCTAACCTCAGAAACAATTCCTACAGAACTCTCTCCAGGAAGTACCTCACTTGGCACAGGCCGGTGGCTACCTAGTCCTTTTTGAATAGGGCAATGACCCTAAAGCATTCTGGTCAGTGTCAGAAGTCACCCATACCTGTCCTGACCACTTTTCTCTGGGAATTGGTCATCAACCACTAAATCTACCCATTTCTTGGCCCAAAGCTTGCTGAGCCTGTTTGCAAAAAGAGGAGCAGCACTAGCTAAGTTGTGGCCATGTCCTGTCCTTTAATCATATGAAGACAAACAAATGACCTGGTGACTTTTCCCGGCATGAATTCACACACGGACACCCACGTATGAGCACATGATGCATCTGTCAATCAGTCTTCTTAAAAATGGAGTCCTTTCTGAATAGTCCTGTAAAACTATTTCCACCTCCATTGCTGGGCTCGCATATTAGAATGCTTGTCCTACAGGTGTCCCCTTTCAGTTCCTAAAATCTGCTGAGTTCAGGCTGGGTCTCCACACAGCCGGCACCTGATCCTCCACTGGGTCTCTGCTTCAGGGAGACCCTTCCAGCCCACCCTAGCTAAAGTAGGCACCCCTTATTCAGAATCTCAGGCCTCTGATGATTTTCTCTGCTACGCTTAGAACAATATGTGACTATTTTATTCACATATATATTTACTTGGGCTTTGTTTGTGTTTGCATGTGTTTTTCTTTTGTCTTTCTCCTTTGTTAAAAGGGAAGCAAGGGGGCCTCTTGAGAGCTGGAATCCTGTTTGTAGCTCACAGACTCCTGAGGTGCACCAAATGCTCAATGTATATTTGTTTCATCACAGATGACCTGGTGGGCCCCTTTGAAATTGCTTGATTGGTATAAATGGGCAAAATGGGTAAAATCCTCAAACCCCAAATCCTTCTCCTTGCCATACAATTCAGATGACCCCTAAGTGATTTCTGCATTTTTTTCCTATTCTTGTGTGGCTGGCTTAGACCATAACTCTAAAGACATGGAATCCTGGACTCTCATGCCTTTGTCTAGCTTGGCCCCAACTGTGAAGTCATACTAGTGAAAAAGCCCTACACTTCTTCCAAGGGCTCAGTGTCCAGCTGGGGAGCAAGGCAGATGAGATAGCCACTGTGGAGGACAGGGTGACACAGGGGACTCCGGAAGAACCCAAAAAAACAGAGCCTTGTCCTGAGGAAGGGCGGAAATAACAGGGGAGAGTTGAAACACGATTCTCTATTGCACATCTTCCATGTATCCAGGTTCTCTCCCATGTTATCTCAGTTGATGCTCACCATAGTCCTGTGATGTTGATGATTTTTATCACCATTTTGTTATTGAGGGTATAGTCATGCATGGAACAATGATGTTTCAGTCACGGACCAACCGCATATACCACAGTGATCTCCTAAGATTATAACAGAACTGAACATTTTCTATCACCTAGTGACATAGTAGCTGTCGTAAATTAACAGTGCAACGCATTATAATTGCCCACAGTACTCATTACAGTCACATGCTGCACAGGTTTGTAGTCCAGGAACAATGGGCTACACCAGACAGCCTAGGACTGCAGTAGACGACTCCATTTGGGTTTGTGTATATGCACTGGGCGATGTTTGCTCAATGAGGAAATCATCTAGGGACGCGTTTCTCAGAAGGTATTCCCATCGTTAAGCAGCACATGGCTGTAATGGAAAACCATGAACTTCTGTGTCACATAAGCTTCAACTAGAATTTTACCCACCCAAATTATCCACTATAGGGCCCTTGGGCAAGTCACTTAAGTTTTCTTATCTTTATTCTGAAGATAATAACAACTGTAGTTGCTATGAATATCAAGTGGTGAAGATGTATCTTTTTGTTGTTGTTTTTAAATATGTTTTTTATTAATTTTAGAGAGAGAGGAAGAAAAGAGGAGAGAGAGAGAAACATCGATGAGAGAAAAACATGGATCGGCTGCCTCCCGCACACCCCCTACTGGGGATTGAGCCCGAAACCCGTGCCTGTGCCCTGATGGAATGCCACTCAACCAGCTGAGTCACACCACCCAGCAAGATGTATCTTGATATATCCGCAAAATGAAATGAATTCTGTGCTTGGCACATACTAGGCAAATGTGGCCTAGAATTTGATGACCTCTTGCTCTGTAAGATTCTACGCATATTTTCCACACAGGCCGTAGGTTTGTCTCACCTTCCACATTGTGAGCTCTTCTAGGACAGGGATGAAGTTGCCCACCTCTTTGGTCTAGTGACCTATACATACGTTGGTTATTATGCACACACTAGTCTCTTGAAATAAGACAATATTTATTATACAGAAATCTAGTTTTCTAGTAAATGGTATGTGTAAATGTTAGTAGACTGGGCAAATACCCCTTTGAGATAAGTAAGCACCCAGGATCCCTTTTCCACCACCTGCCACCTCCAGCAACAACTCCCTCTGTACACATGTCTAACCAGGGGGAACATAAAGTCTTAGTGATATGAGTCATTTGAATTTTATGTGCAAACACAACTTGTTAGTCACACTGAGGAAAGAAGGACATTCTAACTTCAACTAAACTAACAAATTTCTTTTTCTTTATTGATTTTTTTTTTTTTTTTAGAGAGAGAGAGGAAGCGAGAGGGAGAGAGTGATAGAAACATCAAGGAGAGAGAACATTGACTGGCTGCCTCCTGCATGCCCCCCACTGGGGATCGAGCCCACAACCTGGGCATGTGTTCTGACCGGGAATCGGCGACCTCTTGGTGCATGGGTCAATGCTCAACCACTGAGCCACACCAGCCAGACTAAACTAACAAATTTTTTGTCCACAGCGGGAAACAATTAAAATTTCTAAATACAGTAATGCATGCCTATGCACCTAGCTAATGATTCATTAAGTGATTTATCCCCTCGCCCAACCTTCTGCCCAATTCCTAAGAACTGCTATTTCTTAGTTTTTTGTTAAACCCATCCTCTTGCTTTCCATCGCTGCTCGGGCCCTCTTCATCCTTCACTCTCTATGAAATCACTCCTGAAGGGAGCTTTCTGACATCGGTCTTGCCTTCTAGAACCCAGGCTCCACAGAGAGGTGGCTCTACAATGCTCTTGGCCATGTCCCTGCTCTGCCCTTAACCCTTCAATATCTTCCCTTGTTCACACCATACAGCTTTGAACAAAAATCCCAATAACCTGGCAAGAGGCAAGTTGAACATTTCTTTAGCATTTTTGAAACCTAAAACCAGCGGCCCAGTTCTTACTTTAAAACATGTTTCAAGCCCTGGCTGGTTTGGCTCAGTAGTTAGAGCGTCAGCCCGCAGACCAATGAGTCATGGGTTCAGTTCCAGTCAAGGTCATGTACCTCGCTTGCGGTTCTTCCCAGCCCTGGTCGGGGTCCTGCAGGAGGGAGGCAGCCAGTGGATCAATGTCTCTCTCTCTCGCCCTCCCTCCCATTCTATCTGAAGATAAATAGAAAATATTCTCAGGTGAGGATTTAAAAAAAAAAAAAAAAAATATGTTTCAAGAAACTTAAATGCCTTAGGAAGTAAATGAATGATAGAAATCCTAACTAAATATGCAAGCCTTGGACCTTCATAAAAATGTGCCTTTGCCCAATCCTGAATAAATCTTGCTGTCTTTGGGAGCAATATTGTCAGCCAACGAGCACATAAAATAAATGCAATGAGATAAAATGCAGTGTCCACATTCTTAACTACACAAGCACTGGCCCCCTCTAGGCAGTAAAGACAACTCTGGCAAGATTTCTTTCCTCCAGTCCCACCTCCTAACTTTCCCCACCCCTAACCCCACCCTTGGTGATAATAACCACAGACCGAAGCAACAACACAGTTCAGTGTTCCTGAGCCTTGCAGTGGTTGACCTGGCTGCTGTTCTCTCCAGTTAACCTCTGTGTGGTAAGTATTTTTGCAATACAAAGTGCCTTTTCCATTTTGCAAACCTTTTGTCTTTCTCTCCTATCCTCTTTCAAAAGAAAAAAAAATTATTAAAAAAATAATAAATAGCCCTGGCCGGTTTGGCTCAGCGGTTGGAGCGTCGGCCTGCGGTCCAGAGAGACCCGGGTTCGGTTCCCGCTAAGGGCACGTACCTCGGTTGCAGTTTGTCCCCGGCCCTGGTTGGTCGTGCGGGTGGCAGCCACTAGATGTGTCCCTTCACGTCGATGATTCTCTCTCTCTCTCTCTTTCTCTCTCTCCCTCCCACTCTATCTGAACAAAAAATGGAAAAATGTCCTCAGGTGAGGATAAAAAAATAAATAATAAAAAACAATAAAATCTTACCATGTAACTAACATAAACCAAGGCAGAACTGAATAGTAGGTGTTAGTCTAGGGTAATCTTTTAAAAATCCACATGTCTGCAACATGCAATTGTCTTTTAAATTCAGTTTGGCAGTAGTGATTCTTAAGTCTGTGACTATCATGACTTTTTCTTTAAAATGTGTCACTAGAAGACCCATTTTTTTAAGAAGAAAAAAAATGTTCTTAATCATTAAAGAAGAAATCATTGTATTACCATTAAGACTGGAGTGTTTAAACAGAATATTCTAAATTCTTTCTAGGAAATTTTTATCTTCTTTTGAAATGGGTGTCAAGATTTGCTGTTGGAATTGATTTTGCTGGGAGAGAGGTACAATTTCTGTTTCAGTCATTTTAAGGGTTCTATTACTGTTATATGGTCAGAAGTTAATTCTAAATGTCTCTGTTTTTATGTAACAAAAACAATTTTTTTAAATCATCATGATTTTTAAAATCACCACTAGTTATCGTTCCTGATTTATAGCCCTGTTGTCATCTCTTGGTAACATGGGTAGTGTTACCAAGACAGCTCTCAGCACTTCCACTGTTGAGAGAACAGTTTATCTCACCTGCATGGTTTAAAGAAAGGGGGGGGGGGGTGAAGCTTTTTTCCCCTTCCTTGAACTCCCAGGTCCCTACAGCAAACACATTTATTAAAGATGGTATATAGCCCTGACCAGTTTGGCTCAGCGGTTAGAGCGTCGGCCTGCGGTCCGGAGAGACCCGGGTTCGGTTCCCGCTAAGGGCACGTACCTCGGTTGCAGTTTGTCCCCGGCCCTGGTTGGTCGTGCGGGTGGCAGCCACTCGATGTGTCCCTTCACGTCGATGTTTCTCTCTCTCTCTCTCTCTCTCTCTCTCCCTCCCACTCTATCTGTACAAAAAATGGAAAAATGTCCTCGGGTGAGGATTAAAAAAAAAAAAGATGGTATATAAAAAGGAGGTGTGGTTGAGAGGTGGTATTTCTGATGTCTGGCTAGCTAGTCTAGAGACTCCAAATTTGTGTACATGGGACTTACAATTTCTATATTCATACATTTGTTGGGGTTTTTTTTTTTAATTCTCACCTGAGGCTATTTTTACATTTATCTTCAGACAGAGTGGGAGGGGGAGAGAAAGAAACATCAATGTGAGAGAGACACGTCGATTGGTTGCCACCTGCACCACCCCAACCGGGGCCAGGGAAGAACCGCAACCGAGGTACATGCCCTTGGCCGGAATCAAACCCGTGACTCTTTAGTCTGCAGGCCGACGCTCTAACCGCTGAGCCAAACCATCCAGGGCTTCATTTATTTTTTTTAACACCTATTGAGCATGTATTCTGTTCCAGACACTGTGTTAGGATAAAAGATGAATGGCCAGCACCTGTGGAGCTCAGATTCAGGTAGAAGCAAGGGATCTGAAAATAGCTGACCTTACAATATAACCAGGACCAGAGAGACATCTTAAGAGATCATGATGCATGTGGGTGCTACTGATGCACATCCCTCCATAAATGAATAAGTCCAATATCACTATGATTATTTCCCTCAAGGATTACATTTATTTGGAAAGACTAAATATTTTTCCAAAATGTTCTCTCTTTCATTGTACTTTAACAATGCCCTTAGGCTGTGCTGAGTTTACCTCCTGACAGGTAACCAACCCTAAGAGCACTTGAATGTGTTAGCAAAACACAGAGGCTTGGGCAGGCTCTCCATGGTTGGCCATCAGTTTCACTTAAATTTTGGAACTTAAACTGCATTGAAACTCCCTTGGGCTTTACTTAAGGAAGTAAAAATGGAGACAAATGTGTCTGCTGCCCCTCTTACTGCATAGACCCTATTCTGGAAGAATACATCTGGAAGCTTTGGGGAAAATAAATATTTTATAATCAATTGTTTGTATAGGCTGCTGCTTTTTTCCTGAATTAAATTTGTCATCATTTAAGTGTTTTATGGCCACCAGATAATTGTATTTTCATTGATGTTTTGAGACCCATCTGTACCAACCAGAGCACTCACAAATGGTGTGGTTATCTTCTTACAAAATATTGGATGGTATTTGCTCAAATTGTAGATTACAGACACTACCCAAATTCAACATTCTGGTAGTTTTGGTCATTGATTTTACGGTTAAGGACCAGCACTGTCTTAACCCTCTTTACTTCCATCATCGGTGCAATTTGGGGAATAGGAGTAGAGAAGACTCTTCCCCCATACACAATACAACAAACTTTAAAATCATTTAACAAACTTGACTGCTTACCAAAAAATAAAAATCAAGCCCCTTTGAGATGTTTTCTACCAAAGTAGACGCAGCCATTAGCTGTGTTGAATTACCAGTTAAGTACTCTTCAGCCCAAATAATTTAAAAGACAGGTAATTCTCGTTCAATTTTGAGTTACAACAAGATTTAAAATATAGTGTTGTACTTTACAGGTCTTCTGTTTCTTTTAGCCAAGATATTATATCTGAGACATCTATAGGCCTGCTATACTGTTGACATGACCAGATACCAGACATGCTAAGCATGGGCAGAGCCAAGCCCCTTGCAAGTTCAGGAATGGGTGATGCCTTTGGGGGCTCCCCGTTGCTGAGCTCCTATTGAAGACAAAGAGTTCCAGAGAAACAGAATAAAGACTTCAGTCTGGGGAAATAACTAATTGCCTAAGTGAGGAATCTGATTTTAGTTGAGAGTTTTCGGGATATCTGCATATAAATTGGGACTTTTAAGGTAACTCAGAATATTCATTTACTCAACCAATACTATTTCCATCTTTAATCTGCAGATAGAAATATATTGTAGGATGATGCTAGAAGAATGCCAGTTAAAGCTTCTTAGAGAGAAAGTATTTTCCTGCTCCTTTGCACCAACTCAAGGGTCGTGGTAGGGGTCTCAACTACTCAGATATAATTCTGAAGCACAGTGGTTGGATACCACCTCTTTGTAAAAGAGATGAATGCTTGCTTCCCAACTACAACAAAGGTGAGAAAAGCAGCCTTCTCTGACATGTAGGAGAAATGGTTTCACTGCCACACTGGGGAATATCCTTACGAAAACATGGGCCTGTGCAAAGTCTTTTCTCATTGGACTAGATGGAAAGACATACATCACAAGTGTCCATAGTGATTTGGTTTGTATGGCAAATTTACTAGAGGTTTTTTTCTTTTGGTATTTTTGTGATTTTTTTTTTTTTTTAGATTGTCATCATTGATCACGTTATTTTGACTATGTTTTTTAAATTTTGCGTGTTCGGGGTGAAAATTTAAGTGGTGGGGAAAACTGTTTTGTGTAAAAGACTTTATAGCTCCACTACGTCAGTACGCAAACCATCATTTGGATGGACGCCCTTCAGTACCGTGAGTCTCAATCCTCTTTCCACCGTGAAATCTCCGGGGACGCACTAAAAATATCGATTCCAAGGCCACAAATCCCCTCCAACCAGACCAGTGGATCAGAATCCGAATGGAGCCAAGTGGTTGGTATTTTGAAAAGGTGAAAAGGTGAACTCATTACATTGCGAAGGTTTTATATTGCAGTTCTTTTACCTCTGTTAACCAGGAAGTCACATTACTTAAAATTAGATTCCACAGTGTTTCACTGGATTCTTTTGTTGTCACAGTGGGTGGGTTTTGTTTACACCCGATATATAAGTTTTCCAGGCTCTGTGGTGCGGAACGTCGGGACTTGGATTAGTCACATGTGATTCCTAAGTGCTCAAACAAAGTGTACTGCTTAACAAAACACTATCAGCTTGTTTTACATGGATCATTTAGTATCAACTATAGCCTGTGTTGGCTAATTCTCCTTTCTGAATTTCCCCACTGCTCACCTGTTAAAGCAGTTTTAGAACTGGTTTCTGAGGGAAACAAAGGCTTTCCTGCAGGCATGCTTTTAGCTAACCTCCATGCTGAATTAGGACAGCCTTTAATTAGCTCACCTCCATGCTAGTAGGGTGGCCTTCTGTTCAGCTGTGTTGTCCTGGTTGCATCTTTTAATTTTTATAACAATGCATTTGCCTTCAGTGCCTTTTGCTTCTGCATACCTGCTCCTATGTGTAACAAGCAGCCCTAGTTGGGAATCTGAACTCAGATTCTTGCCAAAGGTTTCTAATTCAGCCTCATTGCTGTCCAGTTCTTATAAAACCCCAGCTGATTAAAATATTATTCATGGGGGATTGTCAAAGAATATGCATCCATGTGTTTCTCTGAATAATCTAAGTAATCTGATTTTTAATCTTGAATCATCCCAGATTATCAAAGAAGTAAGTACTTAGATAAAATTGTTTTAGCTTCTTGTAGATTGCTTTCGGTGATTCTACTCCAGCCCTGTCCTTTAACCCTATATTAGGAAACAGGCTCAGGAAAGTCATTGTTCTGTTTATTGCAGAGAAATTGTTGATGACCTTGCCTATTCCGTGTCACATATCAGCTCTTCGAGAGCTTTGATGAGCAATTTCTCTGGATCTCAATCTGTTTTTATTTTATGGACATGGTCAATCTCCTAAATGTTTGTGTTCTCTCTTTGCTTTGCCTGAAGTTTGGAGTCTTCAGGCAAAGCAAAGAGAGAACACAAACTCCAGGAAGTTCGGAGTCTAATTTGCAGCTGATGCCTAGCACTGTG